TTGCTTGCTTTGCTTTGCTTGCGTTGCATTGCATTATTGCTTTGCTTTGCGTTGTTCGCTTTGCTGTTGCTTGATTGATTGCCTGCTGCGTGGTTAAATTTGTCTGCCGGTTGTTGGTTTATTGTTTGTTTGAATTCGTTCGTTCGATTGGTTGTGATTTTTGGCTCAAGGCCGTGTGGTCTACCGGTGTGTGCCGGCAAGCCCCAGCTGACGATACTGTCATAAACTTTTTATGCTTTTGGCTGTACAGTTTTTTGATCTGAGGCCTCTTTTTTCTGGTATCAGGGCCAAAAAACGGCACGGGACGAAACTCCAGGTATGTGCTATATACTCTGTACGCGCGAAATCTGTACTATATGTGCTATATAGGGCCATATAGCACATATAGCACATATAGCATGGACCCGGGGGAGAGTGGATGTTCAGTGGCTTGCCTTGTGAGATATAGCACGTATAGCACGTATAGCAAGGAACCCGGGGGACTGTGAGGGTTCGGCGGCTTGGTGCCTGCCCGGCATAGAAGCCCTGCCGAGCCCGCGCCAAGGTCGGGATTCTTCCCAAGGAAAAAATTCCAGTCCTCCCGTGGGGGGAGGACTGCAGCACGCTTTTTTTTGCCAATGGCTGCGAGGCCCAGCTGCCCGGCATAGCCTCCCCGGCCGCGCCACCTGCCCGGCATCGGAGCCTAATTGCTTCAACATGTGCCGCGCCACCTGCCCGGCATCGGAGCCACGCCAATCCTGTTGTGGCCCCAGGATTGCTCCCTTCAATCCTGTTGTGGCCCCAGGATTGCTCCCTTCAATCCTCCACGCGGAACTCCACGCGGGGCAACTCCGAAAAAATGGGACATGCCTGTTTCCAGTTCCGAACTCCACGCGGAACTCCACGCGGGGCAACTCCGAAAAAAAGGGACATGCCTGTTTCCAGTTCCGAACTCCACGCGGGCAGCCACCAAAAAATGGTTGGTGCCTGTTTCCAGTCCGAGGCACTTCAAAAGCACAAGTGCCACTTGTGCTTTCGAGCATCACATTCCTGCCCGGCATCGGAGGCTTCGATACCTAGCGCGCCACATTCCTGCCGCGCTACCTGCCCGGCATCGGAGCCTCCAAATTCCAGTGGTCCTGTGGGGGGACAACTGCCTAAAGTTTCGGCGAACCTGCCCGGCAGAGCCGCGCCAGCCCGCCGACATGGAGGCACGCAGCTGATGTCTCGCACCAACTACGAAGCAGTGTCCGATTATGTGGGAGACTGGCTCCATCGTGCGCAGGTCCCGCGATTGACCGGCGAAATCGGTCAAATCAAAAATTGAGTCACATCCGAAAAACCCCTGGCGCGGGCCTGGTGCGGGCTCCAAGACCGAAGCCGCGGAGCCGGCCTCGCTCTCGCTCTCAAGGTCACCCACGGACTGTGACACGTGCGGAAACTTGTGCCGAAGAGGGGTTGGTGTGTTTGACACACCAACAAGCGGCGACGCCTGTGAGGGGGTGTGTCAAACACACCAACCCCCGAATCACAGAGGAAACTTCTCCGAACGGCCGGAACGCCACGAAGGACCTGTGAGGGCGCGCTGCGAAAGTACAACACCCCTGTGTCGTTATGAATTCGTATAACACCTACTCCTAAGAAAACATGTTTGAAGGACCTGTCACCGGCAACATCCCGGAGGTCCTGGACAACGGAGAGGTGACTGACGGCACGCACGTCACCGCAGGGCAGCTGGCCCTGGCTCTGACGCCGTACGCTCAAGTAACGGACCTGGCGGTGAACACGGCAGCCGCCGGCAACAACGCGGCGGCCATCCAGTCCCTGGACGACCGAGTCACCGCAGCGAGCTGGCCCGGCAATTGCTGGCCACGGCGGCGGCCCTGGCCACCACGGACGGACAGGTGGCCGCGCACGGAAGCAGCATCGCCGCGCTGCAGAGCTCGCTGACCACGGGCCTCTCCAACAAGGCAGACCAGTCGGCCTTCGACGTGCTGGAGGGCGTAGTGGCCACGAAGAGCACCCCGGACGGCGTGGACCTGAAGCTGTCCAACTACAGCACCACGGCGGCCATGAACGGCTCCATCGCCTCGGCCAACAACGCCACGCTGGCCACGGTGGCCGCCAACTACGGCCTCAAGACGGTGGTGGACCAGCACTCCCTGGACATAGCGGCGAGGATCACGCCGCTGGAGGTGGACACCAAGGTGGCCAACGCTCTCCTGGGGGCCGTCACCGCCGCGGCGCTGGCCTCCGAGCTCGCGAGCAGAGACGCCTCCATCTCGGGGCTGCAGGCCTCCAAGGCGGACGCCAGCGCCCTGACCGCGTACGCCTGCAGTCGGCCGTCGACACTTCCTCCGAGGTGGACTCTAAGATAGCGGCCGCTCTCCTGGGCGCCGTCACCACGGCAGCCCTGGACGCCGCCCTCCTCGGCAAGGCGGACGCCAGCGCGCTGGCCTCCCTGCTCTCCACGGTGGACGGACTGGACACGCCGCTGGAGGTAGACACTAAGATAGCAAATGCGCTGCTGGGCCTCGCCACCGAGGCCTTCGTCGCAGCCTCCGCGCCACACATACAGAGAGTGGAAGGAGTTCCATGCCCCAAACCTGGTTCACGACGAAGACCATCACCAGGCGCACTTGGTGCAAGAGAGACTGTACCACGGAGGGCTACCGGCGTGTTGCTGCTCCTGAAGCTGTTCAAGACTTCAGTTCCACGCAATCTTCGGCTTTGAGTATGACACCGCAGATGTTGAGTGCGATTCTCCGATCTTCGGATGCCTCTGAATTCTCTGTTGATCATCTTACTCGTCTTCAGGCTGGGATCTGTCAGCAACTGTCAGAACGCGCACGTCAAGCGTCCCAACATCCAGCGCATGTATCTCGTGGAGTTGCGCCACCTGAATGTATTGGGGTCGCTGATTTAAATACACCTGCGGGTCAATCAGGCAGCTCTACCAACAAGGCGCAGCCCATCTTCGAGCTAGGTGAAGTATAAACCGATGCATCTTGATCATGACATGAAAGAGTGTCACCTTTGCTCTTGCTTACTTGTGTGATTGACCGGTTGTGCATGGTTGTGCATTGTGACTGTTTTCTCGCCAGCTGGGTCAAAGCCTGCGGTACGCCCTGTCCTTTACTTCAGCATGGACACAGATGATGTGACTCAAACGTCGGCCAGAACTGACGAACAGCACCTCCGTCTGGCAGGACCAGGAGTGGGTCCGGATCTACACTCCGGGTCAACTTCAACAGTGGCGCCCAGACCCGCCCTACCAGAGAACTTGTTTCGGGAGTGGAAACGGACAACTGAGCATGTTGACGGAACTGGTGAATCCAGTCAAGCATGGACAATTCGGCGGACAATTCGTGACTGGCAACATCAAGGTTATCAACGGGTTCTGTCTCGCTTGGAGTCCTTCTCCACCCATCATCACCCTGATCCATCATTTGCTGATGTACAACATCCAGACATGATCCGGGTCGAAGAGATGTTCACCTATGCCCCTCCCATTTCTGACGGTGATCGCCCGACAGCTTTGCAGCTTCCGCCTGTCTTCTATGGCGGCACACGTCTTGCTCATCTTGGAGATCTTTCGTCCCCGTCTTCTGAGCGGCCTCGTGCGGAGCGTGCAGTTTCGCGCTCTCCCCGACGCAGTGGATATTTTGGTAGACGTTAGAATTGATGAGCCAATTGCGTGATCTTCCGGCTGGAACAAAAGATTTTCGCCCCTCGCTGAGGGGCGTGTGTGTGTGCGGAGTGGCAGAAAACCCTGCCACCATACAATAAAATTTTTCCCGCTGCAGGGGGACCATCCATTTGCTGTGTGCGATGGTCCAACGAAGCGGCCACAGCAAATGCGGATATCGAGGCTGATCACCTCGACGTACCTGCGCATCTCGTGTGATTCAAAGTCCTTTTGGCCCGTTGTTTCTCTCGCTGTGTGTGCTTCATGTTGAATTTGTAACGTTTTCGCTGCTAGACGGAAACCAAGTGACTGCAAGCCGAACCTGCACCTACTCGAGACTCATGAGTTGTACTCGAGACTCATCAGTTGTACTCGAAAGATTAGAACCCTCCATCTGGAGTCTAAGTGTGTGTGTGTTTTGTTGTGTGTGCGCGCGTGCAAGCAAATGTTGAGCATTTTGCATTTTGCAACCCAAATTGGAAAACCGGCAACCCAATGGGGCTGGCGGTTTACGGTGTTGAAGCCAAAAGGTCACGCATCAAGGACAGCGGGATGATGTTCTGAACGCTTCTTGCTTCCATCTTGTGATGTATTTTTGTGTGGAAGACGTGACCCATTTGCAACGCCACCTACAAATCACAAACAGTGTCACAAACTTGGGGTGCATTGCTCATACCGTCGAGCCCGGTATTTAGGTTATTCGGGTGCACATGTTCCTGTCTTGTTTTCGGGTTTGGTCTGATTGAAACTCTCGTTGTTTGTTGAAGATACTTCCATCAACACAGCTTGGGTCTTGAACATTTTCGCGAAACATAGTCGGCCTTGGGCATAGTACATTGTTCAAATTTTGCTGACACATGCAACTCTCGGGAAGCTTGAACATTGCTTGATGTGGCAAAGCTCAACTGCGCTTCAAAAGGCCTTGTTGTGCTGGTGCTGTTTTTGGGATCAAGTTCCTTCGACGGGTTGAAGGACGGTTGGTGGCTACGTCTGTGGACCATTCGGCCGTGGCCTTTGGCAGGGTCATGGAAGCATGCAACAAACTGGTGAAGGGATCGTGTTGCACCGCCAGGCAAAGTATCTGTCTCCAGAGGGGCCCTTTGTGGAAACAGGAACCTGTCCCCAGATTGCCCTGCAGCTGGTGAGGTCCGGAGCATAAAAGCTCCAAGACCGAGCCGATCTTCAAAGCATGGGGCTTACTTTTGCAACCGACGCGTGCCTTCGCGTTCGCAAACAGCAAGGATCCTGTTTGGAGGCACATGTGATGATCAGTTGATGCAGGTGTCGACAATTTTGTGCAATCTGGCATGCGGTTTGCAACGCCGAGGCTAAGATGCTGGTCATCAAGATGTATGCCATTTCTCTTGCTTGCTTTTACGCTTGGCCCCTACTCCAGCAGTCTACTTGCCTTATTTGTCATGCTTGAATGACAACGATCTCTACAGTGCAATTGTTGGTTCAGTCGTTCTTTCTTGACCTTTCAGTGCGAGGAGGTTTATCCCTCTGCTTGCAACCTATGGCCAGGGAATGCCAGGGAAATGCAAGTGGGTCTTGCTTTGAGAGAGCTCCCACGTCGGTCAGGTCCTGCTCGATGCAGCTAAGATTCAGAGCGTTTATCCCAGCAGGGGATCCACAGAAGGCGCACAGTGGCCAGGGTGTTGAGGGGGCAGGGCTGAATGGCTTACTGGGCAAAGCGAGAAAAAGGGCAAGGTGGCAAGCTTCTTGACCGATTCCAAAAACGTCAGAAGCCCAGGCTTTTGACTCCATTGCTTTTCAAAAAAAAGTCCGCAACCCTGACGTTTTGCCCGGCCCCTTGGTTTTGGTGTTGTCGGTGGCAGGCGGGACCTACCTGGTGATCAGCGGCTCCGGATTTATGATGCCGGTGGAGGCATTCGGGGCAATTGCAAGATTCTTATTCGTCGCCAAATAAAGGGGACCACCCAAAAGGGTGTTTTCCTTTTGATTTCCCACACCCACATGAAAGGGCATCTTCAAGAACTGCACATCCCCATTCGCACGGGGAGGAGTGTTCTCGTTTTCTCATTTCGCAGCTGTGTGGTTGAGTTGTGATGCGATGTGATCAGTCACTATTTGTTGAAACATACGTGTTGGATGGTTTTGCCTTTCTCTGGCTGCTCAAAGCGGAGCGTCGTGTTTGGGTCTGGTCAAAAGCCATCAACAGCCCGCTTGAAGTTTGGACTTGGTGGCATGTATTCCGGAGGAAGTTGTTTGAATGGTTTTGTGCAGTTTGCCCCAAAGCATTGGGAGCTCGTGCCAGATGTGGGTGCTGGCTCCAAATGACAGAACCTCGAAATGAGTAGTTTTCCTCTGAATTCCAGTTTCAACCACCCCCAAAAAGGGAACCAGAAAGCAAGACATCCCTACGCAGTGCTTTTTGAACAGGCCAAATTGTTTGACCCAGTTGAGATTGGCCGACATCTGGGGTCCTGAGTCACTGCAGTCTCCGCATCGTATCATCAGTCATAGTTGATGTGCACTCACAGGTGAGGTTAGAAAAGCAGAGCCTGGCCCATGAACATGTGGGTGTGTCAAACTAGTGGCGAGTGGCCTTTCTTTGGACTCACTTGACTGCTTCGCTGGGAGGCGAACCCTTGGGACTCACAAGTGGTCTTTGCCGGGGGGCCCGAGGCGCAAAAAAGGGGGACGAAGGCCCGGGTTGAGAAAGGGGGATTTCTTGGGTTGCCCTAAAGGCGAAGAGCACTTCGGTCTCAGTTGCTAGAGACCTGCCTAAAGGCGCCCGTTGGTGGTTTCAACATGGTGTGAGCAAAGACCAATCTCCGGGGCCCGTGATAAAAGAAGGGCAGTTGAGCGCAACGAACACGTTTGCTCTTCTTGGTACCCATATCTCCAGATATGATTTACGAATTTGAAGTAAATTATCCTGAAACAACGAGGAATTCTGTTCGTAGTTTGATTCCTGTATCGGGACCCGAAGACCGAAACCCAGGCGGTTCCAACGCGTTGTGGCCGTTGAGGAACCCCTCTGCTGGCAACGAGTTTTGGTCCACGCAGGCGTTCCAGTGGTGGCAGTGAGTACATCCCGGAACCTCAATCAATGCCACCCAGTGACGTGGAGTCTGACCAGAAAGGGAGCCTTTGATGGGTTTCATGTTGGGAGTGAGATGCCCTGTTGGGTTGACCCATTGGTGGAGTTGTTTAGACTTCACAAATTCTTGTTAACAGGGTTTCTATTACGTTGTGAAGCCAGCGCCCAAAGCCACCATTGGAAATATTCGTAGGTGCTTCAACTACAATTTCATGTGTGTGTGTGTGTGCGCATGCTGAGTTCCAGTTTCACCCTGGAACAATTTGTTCAAAGCAGGGGCACACGACGTCTGCTGCCAATCGTTGCAGATGGAAGGGAACTGGGACGCCATGCAATCCCTGAACCGTTGTTGTCTGCTTTGCCCCCGTCGGTTGAAGTAAGTAGAGGGAAACCAACTCGGCTTAACCACAATGGATTTGCACATGATGCACGTTAGAGTCGAGCCCACATAAACCTTTATAACCATGTTGATAGCAGCATCAGTCAGCTCAGGTTTTGGTCATTGCCCACGCCCCCATCTCAGGTTGGGGCCAAGGCGTGCCACATCCTCGCGCACTACACCTCCTCCACGCAGATCGCCGGGCGCTCGGGGCGCAGACGCTGAACTGCCTGGCCAGAAGGATGGTTCTCCTCGGAACCTCCCGCATTTTTTTCAGAGAGTTGGAGGTACTGTACTACAGAAGTGGTGGTACCAGAAGTCCATCTTTTGTTTGGTTCGTGGTGGTTCTTTTGAAGGCCGACGGTAAAATTTTGGTCGGCCGGATGCCTGCGCATGAGGTGTGCGAAACCTCGCCGCACGACTTCACGGCGGAGAGCTCCGGGCGGGGCTTTGGGAGCTGCATTCGGTGGGTTTCCCTTTGGCGAATGCGGCTTGCCACGTTCAACCTGCGCCAGGTGAGCCAGAATCCATGCCCGGGTACATGAAGTTTGGAGGGATATCAATCAGCCCTTTGGACTCTGTAGGATTTACAAGTTTCCACTTTCACTTGTTTAGCACGCACCAAGGAAAGAGGGTCCTCCAATTTCGCCGTGTGGACTTGTTTCAGCGCACTGCCCAAGATTGATTGGACAGCTTTGAGTGGAGGGTGCGTCTTTCAGGGTTCCCATGAACTTTTCGGCAGTTTTTTTTTTTTTTTTTTTTTTCCGGAAGCCTACATCGAAAGTCCCCGGTTTTAAATTACGACTTTTTGCTCCTGTCCGGCCTCGCGAAACGAGCTTCCTCCAAAGCCGCCAGGTCTCTCACTGTCAGTGTACAGATGTTTGGTGGCCTGGGTTTGGCCCGGCACCCAGCCGCGTCAATCTGGCCATAGTTTTCTTTTTCTTCCCATTTTGTTTACTTCCTTAGGTTCTCGTGGCTTTTACACCTCAGCAGCGGGCCCCAACATCACAAGCACCTTGTTTGTGTCCTCACTTGTGTTCTTGTACTTGTTTAGAGGGCCGTCAGCCCATCCTTGAGCGAACCCTAAATCCCACCCTAAACCACCACCAACCACCACTAAAGCTGAACCAACCTCAAACAAACCGCAACTCACCGTAAACCCACCCTAATGAAGCCTTAAACCTGCCCCAACCCCACCAAACAAACCCACTCTAAACTATGTATCCCACAAACCCACTCTAAGAAGCTTAAACCAACCACTAAACCAACCACCAGCCAATCCTGACCTTATCCTTAACTAACCCTGAACCAACCCGAAATACTTTCGTCAGACTTGGTCAACTTCGACTTGTGAAACCCATAATGAATCGTTCCGAAGAGGCCCTTCCTTAGACAAGTCGGTCTGCCAGGAAAATCACACGTGCGCAATCCATGAACATATATACTTGAAAGCATAGAGAATATTCTGCAATGGGTCAAGATTTAATGCAGAAATTGTTGTTGTTTTTCTCTGGGCAGTATTGCTGTGTTCAATTCCGGTGCGAACATGCTGTATTTTACAGCACGTTTGAACAAAATCACTCGTTTTGCACCAACGCTGTCAACATCCCTGGCATCGTTGTCAACATTCTCAGCGGTGGGTGTAGGGTTGGTTTAGGGTTGGTTTCGATTGGTTTGGAGTTTGCATAGATGGGTATATGCTCGCTGCTTAGATGGGGTTGGGCTGTGTTGTGGGTTTAGAGTTGGTTTGGGATTCGGTGGGCTTAGGGTGGGTTAGTTTAGGGCGGATTAGTTTAGGGACGGTTTAGGGTGGTTTAGAGTTGTTATAGGGGTTCAGAGTTGGTTTAGGATTTAGTGTGGCTTAGATTGGCTTCAGGTTTAATGCTGGTTTAGGGTGGGGCGGGTTTAGGTTCAGTGTGGGTCCACACTCAAACCAGGGTCAACGAGAGTTAGTGTGGGGGGACAGTCCCAATTAAGGGTAGACGTTTGTGCTTCCGCGCTTTGGTTATGACTCATGCGTCAAAACGAGGGGACGCCACGAGGGCGTCGTGTCCCTGCCAGCAAACCCAGCATCGTTGCATGTTGACCAGATGAAGGCGTGTTGTTTGGGGGGGGGGGAATGGGGGGGGAGGGGTAGTATTGTTCGATGTTGACGAGATGCAAGGCATCACGTACGTTGTTTGGGGGGGCGGGGAGGGGGGGGGGAGAGGGAAGAGGCGGGGGGGAGAGGGGGGAGGGGGGGGGGAGGGGGAGGGGTAGTAACGTTCGATGTTGACGAGATGCGTGCGTTTGGCAAATTAGCTGTTTTCCTATGTTTTTGGCCATTTTACGTTCGCAAACGCACGACGCCTGAGTAACGTCCTTCCCTAGTTTTTGCTGTGGCTTCCCTTCAAACTTGTTCCACAAAGGGCCCAGTCTTTGCAATGCTGCTGAGCAAATACAATTGGGCCATGCAGCCTTTTGGGGCAATCAGCTGGATTGCTTCATGTGCCCCAAGTCTTGATTGCGACTTGTTGTAGTGGTTTTCCACTACAGATCGATTAGGATTGGGGATCCCCGAGTGAGCCCAGGCGTCGTACACCTCCTTGAGCAGTGCCTTCCAGTACAACTGGTACGCGGCGCCCTCAGGGGGAAGCTCCAGAAGGATCCTCTGTTTGGTTGGGATTCGCCCCAACCCAGTTGTTTCCATTGCCCCTTTTAGGCACCTGAAGAAAATTTTTAAAAGGTACCCTTCAACTAAACAAGAAGGACGTGGAACTCTCAAAGATGGCTTAAGGAAAGCCGAGATGAAAGAAACCCAAGGAACCGCAGGGGAAGCCACGGACCGAAGGGCAAGGGGAACCAAAGCAAAACCAAAGTGAAACCGAAGGGAAATCGAAGTCACAGCCGAAGTGAAGCCGAGGGAGGAACAAAAGGACAATTCGACGTGAACTGAAGGGAAGTGAAGGGAAGTGAAGGGGAACCTAAGAGGAAGTCGAACGGGAACTGAAGGGGAAACCAAAGGGGAGCCAAAGGAAGCCGAAATGAAAGCGGATGGAAACCGAAGGGGAACTGAGCTGATTCAATTGCCTCCCTCGGGTGAGGTGTCCAATCTCGCTCTGGGCCCGAAAGATCAACATCTTTCGGATATATTTCCACCTGTAAAACACCCTGACACCTGGTTTGTGGACATAAATCCAAGAATGCGTTTCTGATGCTACACCAAGGGACCCTTGTCGAAGCGCGTAGGACACGCCCATGATCCACTGGTCGGACGGCTGGGGCGGCCAGAGCCCTAGACCCGAGAGAGGGAGAGGGAGAGGCTTGCCATTTTTGGATGTTTCCAGGGTAGTTGATGTCCGAGGACCTAGATGACGCTGACAAAAGCATGGTGCTTCTTCTGAATTCAGCAAGGCGCTGTCTGTGCTTAAATGTAGCGCATATTTGTTCGGAAGTTCGTGTCCGTGGTATCTTCCCGATGCTACCAAAGTCATGATGATGCTGCTGAGTTGAATCGGGCTCTGTTGTGCATATTTGTGGCGCATAACGGCGCAGTTGCAGTGTCATCATGCTTCCTGGCTAGCGAAGTTGAGTTGATTCGTTGCAGAAAATGATCCATCCCACCTTGCTGGTGCAACGTGTGTTTAATGCAGTTGGGGCCGAGGCTTTGGGGGCCCTCCGATTCTTGGCCACCACCCGATTGGCTTGAACGGGCTCTGCCTTGGGGGCCCAACGAAGGACCAACAGACCGGATCTACAATGCCCGGCCCAGGGACTGGTGGAGACGTGGTGCAGTTTGCAGGCAGGGGAGGGTGTGGAGGAAGCTCGGAGGGCGGGGAATCGGAGGGAAGTTCCTATTCTTCCCCCGTTTTGGATGGTGAGTGTCCTTTTGGTGGGGTGCAATGGGGGTTGATTGTGGTTCGGGGTAGCTCGGAGAGCAACTTTTCGTTTCAGGTGTTAGCTAGGCGGGATTGTCCGCGGCCAACCAAGTGGTTTCAATCGCTGATGAAAGAAAAGGAACTTGGACACTACACTGAGACAAGGAACTAGAATAACAATACTAACTCACCTAGACACGACAATATGAAGGGAGTAAACAAGACACAAGCTATGGATGCTCGCGTCCGGAGTTTTTCCATGGGTTCAATCGACTCTTGAAAAGACAACTTCAAATGTCAATACTTCAGAGCTCCAAGACATGCACGCGATAGAACCATACAATTAGATGCTGCTAATTTCATTGACAGGGGTGACGCATACTTCTCATTGCTCAAAAACTCGAGTCATATAAGCGATGCCCTTTCGCACCCCGTCCGCGGCTGTGGGTTTTTAAAGCCGAGGCGACGTGTATCCAGGGGCTTCCGTTGCGGGTCAGCCAGGGAGCCTCAGCTTGCGCCGGTCCTTGGACTGCACCGGCCATCGGGTTCCTTCTTGTTTCTCATTGGAATCATGAACGAGTGTTTTTCAAGAGATTCTCGTAAGTCAGGTTCTGGCAAAGTCCATTTTCCTGGCGACAAACATGGAAGTGCTCCTGGAACAGGAGCACCTGTTCCAAAAGAACATAAAGATAGTCCTTTGAGATCGGCTTGAATTTCAGTATTTGGTTGTCTTCAGAGCTGACCATATGTTCTTGTAAACCTTCGTCTTTGAAGATCGTAAAGATCGGTTAAGATGTCCAGCAGTGCATGGTCCATTTGGGAGGGACACGAGCGGACTCGCCAATTTTCCAGCGAAAACCAGGGGGAATCATGCGATGGTTTACCAGTTTCCCTTTGGGTGCCCTCCGGAACAAGGAACCTGACTGGTGGAAGTCATAAAAAGGGACCTGGGTGTTCTCAAAATGGCGGACCCCGGTTTGTGATAGCTTCAACGGTAAACCAAGATAAATCCACTCATTCCCCATTCCGATTTCAGGGGTCCCATATCTTTGGCGTTCGCTTGTTTTGAGAGGCACTCACACTGGTGTCGAACACCGCGCGGCTGGCCCAGGTTCGACATCCGCATCGGAGACGCGCGGTGCGGGGTGGACGAGGAGGCGGGGATCTGATGGGAATCTCCTGAAATATCAAAAAGAGGCCAACCGAAGCAAAGCCAACACTCAACTAGAAGGAACCCTATGGAACTTCAAAGAAAAGCCAAGGCGATGTTTGAAACCACCCGTCAATCGTACATATTGGGAACTTGGCTCGGGGCCCCAACCAACTTTGGCCTCGGCTGGTTTGCAGAGGAAGCCAGATGTAAATAGGGGCTCATCCATTTAGGAGAATACACCCAGGTGGGTGGCTTGTTTTGTTAGGGGTTCATCCAAGTGAGACAAGCCCAAATGATTGGAAGTCAGCATGAACTCATGCCAGGGGTCGAAGAGGGAGTCCCTTGCCACAACCTTCCCATGTGAGGTTTGGTCCACACGTTTTGTTGTGGAACTCACCAATCTAGGGGCACCCTCCCCATTGTTTCCAGGGATCCTTCTTTCTAGAAAACCTCCGGAATCCCAGAAAAAACGGCGATCGGTTTTTGGAAAGAACGATGGTTGAAAAGAATGGACAAGGAATCAACCCCTAGAAAAAAGCCCAGAAAAGTTTCGGGGCACAGCTGATTCGCGAACCCGTTGTCCACGCGGAGTTTGGCTCGTCTTTTGGGGTCCATGAGCCGGATGTCGGCACTGAGGCCATGCCTTTGACCCACAATCGCCGGAGTCAGAGCCTCGGGGCCTCAGGGCTTTGGGGCTTTGGGGGGGAGGGAATGGGCTGAGGTTGGAGGGGTGCGGGATGTTCTTGAAAAGGTCATGTTTCGGGAGACATGAGGCTGAAAAGCTGTTTGGAGGGGTGACTAGTTTTGACATATCCACGTGAGTCAAGGAGTCAATGCACCAAGGAAGGGGTGGGGGAAGCAGTGGGCCTCTGTGTCTGGGTGGCTTCCACATTTTGTTTCTAGCTCGGTTTCCAAATGGCCAGAAGGAGAATGAGCACTGATGGGGGGAGTTGTACCCTGTGCCTCCATGTATGTTTGTCCTTTTTGGAGAGTATGGTACCCTGGTTGGGCTTGTTTGAGCGAATGGACACCACACTTTTGCTTGAATCCCCCCCATTCGAAGACACCGTGTCTACCCTACCATCCATCAGGTTTTTGTCCGCCCCCAGCCATCCCAAGCCAAAGCCCGGTCTTCGTTTCGGAGGGCAGCAGAATGTTCGCTGAGGATCCCTGAAGCAAGTGCGGTGCACACTTCCAGACGATGAGATGTTGCTTCCGGGCTACTACAATGCAGCTTGGCAGAGTCGTTTGTCGCTTGGTGTTTACGGTTATTGCACATGATCAAGTCTTGCCGTAACTACATAAACATGTTAGAAGACAGTTACTTTTGTTTGTTTGTTTGTTTGTTTGTTTGTTTGTTTGTGTGTTTGCTTGCTTGCTTGCTTGCTTGCTTGCTTGCTTGCTTGCTTGCTTGCTTGCTTGCTTGCTTGCTTGCTTGCTTGCTTGCTTGCTTGCTTGCTTGCTTGCTTGCTTGCTTGCTTGCTTGCTTGCTTGCTTGCTTGCTTGCTTGCTTGCTTGCTTGCTTGCTTGCTTGCTTGCTTGCTTGCTTGCTTGCTTGCTTGCTTGCTTGCTTGCTTGCTTGCTTGCTTGCTTGCTTGCTTGCTTGCTAGTTTTTTGTTCGTTCCCTTTTTGCTTTATGATAAGATTGGGGCCAAGCCCAGCTGACAATCAATGGTATGTCGGGAACCTCGTGTTTCGAATCAAAGGTGGCTGATTGACACTTTCGTCCTTTTTTGGGTTTCCACTTGGGCGGGGCCTTTTCTTGCTTCTTCTGCAGCAAGCTCTGAGCTGAGAGGTGACCATCAGAGTTGGGAGCCGGCGGCTCAGGGGCTTGGTGCTTCCCAGAGGTTGCTGTGGACCACCCCCTTGTTTGGGGTCTGCGAAAGACGTTTGCCTTGTTGTTTCTCTGCCTATTCTTTTAAGGTTGTCAACTTGTGGGCCTTCTTTCTTTAAAGCAATCTTTTTGCCGGTGGCAGCAAAAGTTCAACCAAATGACACAGTGGGAGGATGTCCTGACAACCAGCACACTCGTATTATGGGGTGGATACAGACCAACCCTGTTGGCTTCCAGGTGAGCAGCGACCAAAATCATCTGGTTGAAATTGCTTCTGAAGGGTTGCAACAGCGAATCCGGCCTTTTGATGTCAGCCGGTTCAATCTCCAACTTTCCGTGGCCCCCGAAGTGTCCATGACGCAGAGCTTGCTCTCCGAGGCATTGACCGGGAAAATGGGAACTGCCCCAACGCCTTGTGCTTCCCCGAACTGCCCGAGCAGGTGACCGACCAGGCGAGATCGACAAATGACTGTGGGTCAAAACCAATGGTACCATGTTGAGGTAGGTGCATCACCCACTTTCGTCTATTTTAATCGGGATTGGGATGTTCACTGGGGGTAGGGGCTTTTGACCCATTGTGACAAATGGGTCGACTCTGTCGGTTTAGACATAGTTCAAGCTGTGGGGTCTCTGACCAGATATGCTCTGGGCGGTTTGGGGCAACTTTCAGGAGGGTTTTGGAGCTGATGCTGATGTTTGGAGGGTCTTTTTGGCTGTAAAGAGACATGCAAGGGAGAAACACCCGCGACCCTTGGCTTGCAGTACAAGTCAAGGCGCCAAATGGCCCTGCAGCCATTTGGGTCCCAAAATGGACAACTCCTTCATCTGATTGGTGTCCAGTCCATTTTGAGGAGAGACCCGAAAGAAAGGTTGAGGCATCCGCGCCTGGGAGCGAAGGCTGATGTCTGGAGATTTCCCTCGAGTGAAACCCCCGGCCGACGAGCCAGATCGCAAGTCAGTAACTTCTATCGTCTGGGCCGGGACTGATGTTCCTTTTTTTTGTTTGTTTACGTCTTTTGAAGTCGGGGAACCAACTCCAGAACAAGACCTGCCCACATTGTCGGCCTTGTAACTTGTTCAGCAGGTTGTGGCTGGCTTTGGCCCCAGGCCTTACAACAATACGGCCTTGGCCTGGCAGCGATTGTACCGGCCCTCAGATGCCACCAGGCTGGGAGTCTGGCAACGGCGTGGAAATGGTCTGGCCAGAGTGGGATCCGTCATCATGCGCGGTCATCAGATGGGCTGGTTATATTGCCACCATTGAGAAAAGCAGGCCGACATGATATTGTACACTATCAGGAGTTTGACTGCACATTCATATTTTGTGCTTTGCGCAGCATGGCAGGCTTGTTCAAGCTTGGTGCCAAGGTCTTGCCACTCTCTGTTGACAACATCGGCAAGCTCCACAGGTGCGAACAAAAAGGAACCAAGACAGGCTTGCTGTTGCCTTCGCTGACGATGTCACAAATCTCTGTGCGGCTCTTGTTTCAATTATCACCTGGCCGTTGTCAACTGCTGGAGAGCTTTGGTGCTAGCCCCTGTGTGGCCAGGGTCTGGGGCGGCTCGATGGATATCAAGCTGCCGGGCTGCGTTTGGCATATTTGGTATGTGAAGCTCCCTCCACAACAGCCTGAACACCTTCTCCCAACGAAGCACACAGAAGCTGTTTGGTATGGGGGGAGGCGAATTTCTATCACCGGACAGCGCTTTGTTTTACTTTGGAAGCTGAGTCGCGCCCAATTGAGGACTGGGGATCTCTACCACTTCACCGTCTATCCGCAGGCTTGCAAGCCTGCGCCGTTCGTTTCAACCAAGCGAGCCCCACAAGCAAGGCGTTTGTGGAGAGAATTGTCTGGCAAAAAGACGTTGGTAAAGCGTTCGAAAGTATTCGCCTGGAAAGTGGCAGGCAACTTTGTGCCGGAATGGCGATGGGCCCAAGGGCCCGAGATAGGGACCCTCGGGTTTTACTGAGCTCCAAGCCCTCTGTTGAGGGACACCAGAAACCATCCCCGGTCTGAATTACTTGGTTCGAAACGGCTGAGAAAAATTAACAGAACAGGGCATAGCAGCTTTTTTGGCCTGCGCTGAGCCACAATCAAATCCTGGATTTGGATGTCCACCCTTTCGAATCCTCCGAGGTTTGGGGTAGACCAAATCCTTGTTTAAGTCTTGTGGAATAAAGCCAAGGGAATAAAGCCAAGGGCCTTTCAACAAAGTTTGTTCATGAATGGGTGTGTATTGCAGCTTAGCTTCAATACACATCCTCCCACTAACATAGCACCTGTGGGAGGGGTACCTAGCTCGATTTCCTCTTCAAGGGGAGGTGCCGCTGCTCGGAGGGAAGGGAATCAGGTTTGGCTTGCACAAAGTTTTCCGAACATCCTGTTGAGAGCTTGCACGAAGTTTCCAAGTTTGGCTTGCACAAGACTCTCAAAAGCAGTTTCCGAACTTGGACGGCAAGGCAGAGGTCATCCTCTTGAAAGGCTTGAGGCCCCTTCGGCCAAGTCTGTGGATCTTCCCCGCTAGGTGGACTCCATCGAGCCCAGCGAGGGCGGCAGCTTTGGTGTGGCGCTTGGTGTCGCCGGGGGCCAGTTTGTTTTGAGGTCACAGGAGTTTTTGGAGCCGAAAGGTGACCCGGAGGTCAAAAAACCGGCGTTCTGGGGCTGGGAGAAACAGGGCTTCCTGAGGGCGAAGAAGCTGCAGGCGGTGGTTCGGAACACACACTGGGCGGGATGTGGCGAGAGTTTCCAACAAAGTTGGCTTGGGGCGCTTAGGGACGGTTTGGCTTGGGATGGTTTGCGGGGTAAGGCCAGTTCGAACGGCTTGCGGAAGAAGGCTACACCTGAATAGACAGTGCCACCAATGTGAGGTTCCTCAGGTGGGTTCCTTCTGCTCAAGTTATGTTTGATTCAGGGTTGGTTTGTGGTTTTGCTCGGGTTGTGGGAGTGCCGGGTTGCGGGTTGTGGGTTGCGGGTTGCGGGTTGCGTGGCGGTTGGGGGCGGGGGGCCTAGGGCGGCGGGGTTTCGGGAGGGGGCCCACGGCACTACTGTACCTATTTGAGCTTGTTTGAAACGACAACCGACTGCAGAGAAGTTATTTCTGAGGCTCCCCCATTCTGGGAAAAGCCTTGCGATTGGATAGTGTGTTGATTTGTGCTTCAAGCACGTGTCCAGGATTTGTGAGTGTGGCCGGCTTCCGTTTGTTTGGAAGCTCATTTTTTTTCTTCTCGACATCATCTGTTGCATGGGAGTTACCATAGTTATTTGAAATGGGGGGTGGCTCAAGGGTGGAAATAAGAACAGGCGTTCTCTCTCCACCTGCTTCTGTTTGCAAGCATTTGCCTGGCACAGGATTTTTTCGGATTCTACAGTCTGAATTCGGATGTCCCTGCACCTGAGAAAGTAGGACGGGCTTCTCTGACTCCATCTGGGTTCATTCGCAGGTGGCAACAACCTGACGCTCCACGGCACCTCCTTTGCGGCCTCCCGGCTGGAAGCCCTTCTGACCCAGATGAGCTCCACTGGTTTGTGGAAGACCACCTCGATTTTTATGTCCCCTAAGATTTTTAAGGCCTCCCGAATACTACTTTAGTCTTGACACCCAAAATCTTCAAAACTCGGCTGGATGTGCCATTTTATCCACTAGAAACTCAGATGCCATCAATACGAACCCCCCTTTAAAGGGACCTTCTGGAGGTTTTTAGGTGGGAGGGGACATCTTTGTGGACAAATAAGCGCCTATTTTGTATAGGAGGATCTTGGCGTTTCAAAGAGGAAGTCGGACTACTGTATGTCAAAATGCTGCGTCCAAATATGTTTCTCCCTGGTTTTGGAGGATTGGAATTGCGGCTCCCTAAGCAGCACCTGTGGGAGGGTACCTGGAAGACTAAGCTCGTCTCGCACCTCTTGCCAGGTGCGATGTGGGAGGGAGAGCACCCAAAGCGAATATGGGAAGAGTAAGCTCCTCTTGGACCTGTTGCCAGGTGCTATGTGGAAGGGAAGTATGCGGTTGCTACAGGGGAGAGTCCCTCGAAAATTGAGGTGCAGCCGGAGGCCAACGAGGTGACGGTGGGCGGGAAGACCTGTACCGTGCCGGCCCTGGGCTGTGGATCCGATCTTTCTTGGGACACCGAGGGTCAACCAACGGGTGACGTGGGGCCGCCGGGTTGTCTTTTGGCGGTGTTGCAGGGAAGCCTTTACGGGAGCTGCCCATTTTTGTGGCTCAAAAACCATAAGTGCGATTCCTTTCGTGCTGTTTTGGCGAGGCTTGATGACTTAGGTAGGCCGTAGCTTGCACGGGAGGAACGGCTTGGTTTTGAGTTGAGAGGACCCGAGGACCAGGACCTGAACACTCTGCAACCATGTATGCCTCAATGTTCACAACAGTTTCCCATTTTACATCCTTTCTCGGCCATTTTTCACGGAAAGGATTTCTGGACGAACAAGTGAGTCGGTTGACCAGAGCCCAAGCCGCTCCCCCCTGCTCACGCCAAGGTATCATGTTGTGTCACACCCTGATCAAGTAAGACAACTGAGAATCTACAACTTTCACGACAGACCCACCTGTACGATCCCTGCAAGAAGGTCAGCAGCCCAAACCCGGTATTGGCCTATATACTTGCCAAGATTTGCACGAGCCTCAGCCAAGACGGGATTCACATGAAAGCTTCTTTGCCGAGAGCGCGAATTCACCAGGTCATGAAAGCTTGTGCACAAAATCCTCTTCGCACCAGTTAGTTGGTTTATCTGAAAATGAGGATCTAATCCATTCCCAATTGGGGCATTTCCTCGATTTCAGAAGCGTTCGAACGATTTTGAGGCCTTGCGAGGGGTTATTCTAGGCGAAGTTGAAGGGACATGTCGCCCGTCATGGATGAAGCTTCGAAAGCTCGAGGTGCTAGAGGCCTCCGTGGACAAGCTGGTGCTCGGGTCCTCAGTTTGTGTGTGTCTCTTGTGGCGAAACCAACAGGACGAACCATCAATTTGTCCAATCGAAACCACAATGAAGCGGCATTTTTGAAGTCGCCCTAGTTGCGACATATGGCCAAAACTTTGAGGGTAAGTCCGAAGTCCGCTCGCTTTACTCTGCGTTGCAGCGGAGCTCCATACCACGCAGATGCGTCTGGTTTTACACAGCCATGGGGTATAAAAGGTGTCAGTGCTGGTTGCAGAGTCCTTCTACGTCCACTGGTTGAGAATACCAAGGCGTGCTGGAAGTACGTATTGAAAGGGGTAACCTGCGCTTGGCTGTGAACTCACGATTTCCGATGTTTTTCAAAGGGTCCAATCATAAATCATAGTAAGGCGGCTTGATGAACCAGGGGTGGACATAAGTGGTCGTACTTTGACAAACCCCTGGTTTCTTTTGATGTGACGTTTTAACATTTGGCAGGTTTCACATTTCATACCCCAAACAGGCTTCTGTATTTGCGAGGGTACCCTTTGTCGGTGGTGTAAAGGGACACCCAGAGGAAAACCAAAGCCATTTTGAGGCCCGCACCTATCCAAATGTCGCCTAGGTGTCGCCTGAGTGCGGATGAGGCAGCCAGCGCCCACTCCATGCGTGGGCACTGGACTCGGCGTCCCCCCCGAAGCAATTGGCGCGCAGTTTGTTCGACACTTGCCAGGCAGCCAAGCCTTTTTTGCATCTTCACCCTGTTCTTTCCTCGCCTTGTGGCAAACAGTGATGTTCTTTCCTCATCTTGCTGGACATGGTGGCGATTAATGTCGTTCTGGACATGGTGGTGATATTTAACCTGTTGAAAATGCTGGTTTGTTTGATTTCCTTGTCTTTCGGCAAGTAATGGTCGTCTCCCACAATTTGCGGATGGAAGGTTTCAGAAGACAATCACTTTCTGCAAATCGGCAAAGGGCCATGTGTCCGTCTTTCCACTTCCATGACGGTTGGAAAGAGGGTACCCCTCCAGAGGAGTGACAGACAAGAAGCTATGGGAGTTCCGAATGTTCTCAGTTTCCCAACTCCCCGATTTTCTCAATCTTCCCGTTTTCTTAATGTCGCCGAATTGAGAAACATCCGCAACTTTATCGACTTGCCCTTGCCCTGTTGCAGTACTGGGGTCCAAGAGCCGACAAGCCTGTCGAAAACTGATCTCCGTTTTTGATGATCCTGATTTGTTTGCTGTTTCATGTACTCCTAGAGAGGCTGGCCTTGAAACTCATCAGGCGGTGCCAGTACTTGTTTTGGTTTTTGCTGAAGGAGAGGAGGAGAAGAAGAATAGGGGACGAGAATACTAAAGAGAAAGGAGAGAAAGAGACAGAGACAGGAAGGAACACCGGACAACCTAGGAAGCCAGAAAGAGAGAAGCAAAGCGGGAACGAGAGAGAGAGAGAGAGGGAGAGAGAGCCAATGAAACCAAACGAAAACTGTGCAAGCAAAGCAGTTCAAATCAAGGCGATGACAAAAACAAACACAACAAAAGAAAGAGAGAGAGAGAGAGAGAGAGAGGGAGAAAGAAGAAACGAAGAAAAATACACGAAGAGAGAGGAAAAGACAATAAACTAAAACAAATTAATATATAAATGAAGAGCAGGAAGGAAGGAAGGAAGGAAGGAAGGAAGGAAGGAAGGAAGGAAGGAAGGAAGGAAGGAAGGAAGGAAGGAAGGAAGGAAGGAAGGAAGGAAGGAAGGAAGGAAGGAAGGAAGGAAGGAAGGAAGGAAGGAAGGAAGGAAGGAAGGAAGGAAGGCAGGAAGGAAGGAAGGAAGGAAGGAAGGAAGGAAGGAAGGAAGGAAGGAAATGAAGAAAGAAAGACAGAAATAAATACATAAAGAAAGAAAGAAAGAAAGAAAGAAAGAAAGAAAGAAAGAAAGAAATAAAGAAAGAAATGCAGAAAAGAACGAAATAAAGAACGAAGGAAGGAAGGAACCAAAGACACAAATGAAAGAAAGACATAAACAACGATATCTATATTTATATATCTATAAAGGAGGATGGGGGGGGGGGGAAGGAAAGGACAGGAAAGGAAAGGAACACAACAACAAGCAGAAATCAATGGACTAGCTAGAGAGACAGAGCAGTCTCAGCGAACGGTGAACTAAATGACGAGCAAACACAAACACATGAACAAATAAAGAAGAACATAAAGAAAGGCATAACACAGATAGTTACAAATATACTTCACAAAGGCAGACATGAAAAATAAAGAACATACATAGACATGTCAAGCAATAATCAAGGCAAACAGCATCGTAGAGACAGCGAAAGAGCAGGAACAGAGGCATAAGGATGAACATCACAGACAATAGAACATAGCAGCACGTAAAAGCAAGAACGAGCAAAGATGGAGATAGAGAGCGCGGGAGAGAGAGAGAGAGAGAGAGAGAGAGGGATGGAAAGAGAGAGAGAGAGAGAGAGATAGTGAGAGAGCGAGAGGGAGAGAGAGAGAGAGAGAGAGCGAGAGTGAGAGAGCGAGAGAGGGAGAGAGAGAGAGAGAGAGCGCAAGAGAGAGAGAGAGAGAGAGAGAATGGGAGGAAGGGAGGGAGGGAGGGCGGGAGGAGGGAGGGAGGGAGGGAAGGGGAGAGAGGAAGAGAGAGGGAGGAGGGAGGGGAATGAGAGAGAGCGTCAGACATGCAGAAACGTGCTGAGGCTCCTGAACTCAATCTATACCAGAGATAACAATAGCCGGCGGCGCAGGGTCCGCTCCCAAGCGCAGAGTGAGCTGCAAAGTCACTGGGGCAAAGCTTCCGTTTGGGCGTGTTCCGCTTGCTTTAGATCCGGGCATCAGCCAGGCGGGCCTGGCTATTCCCCATGTTTCGATAGTTATCCCCGCCATGTGCACCTTCTGCTTCATGATTTTATAAAGACGTGTAGCAGATGGTTGCCTGAGGGGTGCAACTGCAAAGCAGATGGAGCGTGGTTTGATAGAACGGTCAACATTAGATTTTTCCATCATATAGGGGCCTTCTTTGGACGGCGTGTCCAATGTACACGATGCCACATAAATGACTACCATCAACCTGAACACAGTCCCTACCGCACTGACCGGCACCTTCTGGTACCATGTGGGAAGTTCCACGCCTGCATTGCAGCTTTCGATTCGCCGATCTCGGTATGAGATCTTCGGGATGTAGCTGTGCGCCCCAATTCAAACGAGGCCCATGTCCATCCCATCAAAGGCCCTTTGGGATGCTGAAAACCCAACACCAATGCTGGGCAATATGAGGCGACTATGACAGCAACCGCTTCCCGGGCTTCCTAGTTTCCACAGGCCCGACGGAAGCAACTTCATGGCTTCCTCTGGAAGACCAAACGTGTTAGTTCCGAAGTTTGAGAGGGGCCGCATTGGAGGGGTCTTTTCCGGGGCATTTGTATTCTTGCAAGGGACTCCTGAAATGGGTTGCCCCTTGAAATGTACAGGGTGTGCCCGGTTGGACGGGGCGCTCTTAAAGTCTTAGCATCGTTCCAGGCAGTTCTCAGAAGGAGTTTCAGGGCAGCACCGGCATGTAGGTCGCATGTTGGCGAGCTTCAAGAAACTGGCCCCATTCCACCCTCATGGTGGGTGAAAGGGACACCGCCCCGTGTTCGGACAGAGAAACCGCTGGTTTCCGAGGTGTGGGCCATCAGCAGTGTGCCCGCGGTGGAGGACCCGTGAGGTACTGTGGATGGACAAAATTCATTTCGCACCACTTTGAAGCCATGGGAAACCATTTGTTTGTTGGTATTGACAGGGGAATCAAATCATTCTAGGACTTCTTAGGTGGTGCGGAATGGATTTCGTCCACCCGCAGCTTCTGCAGGGTTGAAAAAGCGGCTCATTGTGTCCTTTGGAGGCCGCCCTCTTCGGGATATGGAGCCCAAGGGAAGACTTGCGCAAGGAGAGCCCCTTTAGACTCGAAACAGGTCGCACGTGTTTTCGTTTTCGCTACCAGACGATTGAGTCTGTCAAGCTAAAGACCCGTGTTGTGCTCAACTTGCAAGGCCGCCTGCATGCAACGAATGGTTCATAGGGGGCTTGGCTTAGTGCCAGTTTTCCTGGTTTTTCAGTCAGCAAGTCTAGCTAGACTTGCTAAAGGTCGCGCAACGCAGCCGGATTGAGAGACTTGAAGAGTCGCAGCAGTCAATCTGCAAGATACTTTGTTTGACATCGACCTAGTTTCATGCAGTTTGTGCGTTTCGGTTGGGGATCCGCCGCTGGCTAACCAAGCCTTCTGTGAGGCCAGGGGCCGCTTTTAGATGTTGCCAAGAGGACCGGTTCCTGCTGAGCAAGAGCTTCCTTAAGGCCGGGGTCAGATATCTCCAGGACGCCCATTGAAA